GTGAAACTTCAAAATCGTTAAAATTCACGGCTCGCGCCGTATTGCTCGGATACACAACTAGTATTATTTAAATTTCTATTAATATCTTGTTTATATTAATTAATATATTATATTATTAGAAATTTATTTTAATTATATTATTAGAAATTTATTTTTATTATCTTTTGAAATATTTGTAATTAACTGTTCCAATATAATTTTTTTGGTCATTTTACATGTTTATAAGCTAGTTTTTTCAAAACATAATTTCTTCATCAGCTAACCATTAGCTACCTACTACCTTGTCAACTAAAATTTAACTTATCAATGATCAGCTACCTGCTACCTTGTCAACTAAAAGTTAACTTATCAATGATCAGCTAACTTATCAGTGATCAGCTAACTTATCTGTTATTTACCAAACATACGACACTTCATGATAGTCAATATGGGACCTCACCACTCATCAATGCATGGTGTTCTTCGTACAAGGTCCGGAAACGGATTTACCGCTGTATAGCTAAACGACGATTACTCCTTTTAGTGATTTGGCGAACTTGCGTTTTCAATAATGCTTGTGGAATTGTGGAAAACCCTTAGTCATCATCTCTTTCAAAAATTTACTGATTAGTCAACAAAATACTCCAAATTACCACTATCGTAAACATAAAATCCGCTGTCATATTTCATATAACGTTCAATGATTTGAAGTGTTTGTAACACTTAAAAATACATAAAATTTAAAACTTTTGATAAATATCAAGAGTATGACGAAGATGGTTTAAGGTTTAATGTCAACAACTTTTTAAGCCGATCCTTACACAAGATCTAGGTTAGGAACGTGTTGTTATTATCTGTTAGGACCAAAATAGTCCTAAATATTTGAAAGTTTTATAAAGTCATTTATTTGTATTGTATTGTAATATTCAATGTAATTGAGCTAAGGGCAATGGGCTTTACATTATAATGTCACCTATAAATAGGTGACATGGGCTAAGATTAGCATGTTGTTCATTCTATTGTCATTTCCCATGAGAGTCGTGTAAGTGATTTTGAGAAATCTTTAAGAGCTACTGAGTTTAGTCTTTTTGCCTCAGATTCTTTCAAGGCTTTCACATTCTTCTCTAAATCTTTACAGATCTTCTTGTTCAGATCCAACAGTTTCTCTTCTTCTGATTTTTTAAGAGATGCAATGCGGGTTTTCTCTCTTACTAATTCAGCTTTTTCTTCAGTAAGAAAATTAGTCTTTCTTTTGTAGAAACCAACTTCTTTTTCTACTTTTAACCTTTCAAAATTTTCAAACTTTATTTTTTCTTTTAATTTAAGAAAATCCTCTAAAAGTTTTATGATCTTTAACTCTAACTCAGATGAAGCAGAGTTGGTTTCATCGTGGGAAGAATCATATACCTGGTCATCGGAGTCGGAAGTGGGTTCTGCATTGGACTTCGCCATCAGACATATGAGTGCCTTGTCTTCTTCATCAGACAAAGAATTGGACACCCAATTTTCTTTCTCAGCCATCAGACTTCTATCTCTCGGATTGTACTTGTATTTGTTCTTATAGTAGTCTGCATCCTTGATCAGACGTCCTTTGCATTCCTTCGAAAAATGTCCTATCTTCCCGTATCGATAGCAACGAAGACCATCTTTCCTTCCGTCTCCTCCTTCTCTTCTGTCTTCTTTCCTCTCTTCTCTGTCTTCTCTCTCCTCTTCTTTCATCTCTCTGATGAAATTTAACTGTCTTCTGTCCATAGGACCGCTTATATCTCTCCCTTTTGGAGTCTTTTTTGCCGTCTTTTTCGAAGGGTCTATTGACAAACTTCTTCTGAAACTGTTTGGTTATCAAGGCAAGGGATTTGGCAAATGCCTTGAGATCATCATCAGAATCTGACTCTTCTTCTTCAGATTCTGATTCAACTACCAAGGCCTTCATGCTTTTCTTTTTGTATTCTTTAGAAGAGCCTTTTGTAACCTCCTTTTCTTCTGACACCAAGGCAAGAGGTCCTCCGGTGGACACCTTCCTCTTCAAGATGGCTTGCTCTTGGGCAGCAAGTGTTCCATATACGTCATGAAGTGACCAGCTGTCTAAGTCTTGATTTGCTTGTAAATACATCGTCAGTTGAGTCCACTCATCACCGAGACTTTTGAGGAATAATACGTTATTTTCCTCTTTGGTCCTTGCAATGTCGTTTCTAGGGCATTGATTTATCAAGGTATTAAAACGGTTATAAGTCATATGAATCAGTTCATCAGGCAATGCTTTAAAATTCGTGTATTCGTTTAAGCATTGCGCCCTTCGATTTTTCTTCATTTTTGCGCCTCCCTACAGTTGGCTTGCCAGTTCATCCCATATCTCCTTAGCCGTGGTACATGCATCCAGAGATTGGAAAATTTTATTGGGAATGACCATTATGATCAGCCTTTTGGCCTTCCTGTCAGCCTCTACCCTCTCTATGTCGTCTTCATCCCAGTTGCTCTCATCCTTCACCTTATAATAAGCAGCAACTTCTGTGGTATTGCTTGTTCCAGGAACTCTTCGAACAAGAGTTTGAGGAATATAAGGACCTTTCATCACTGATCTGAGGAGATTTCTGTCCATCCCCTCCAGAAAGTTCACCATACGTATCCTTCATTGCAGATACTCTTCACGTTGAAAAGTTGGAGGTTTGGTGAGAGAACCAACACTATAGGCAAAATTCCAGTTGGCTATTGAAGAGTTTTTTAAAGAGAAGAAGAAAATTTGAGAATGGAGAAAAATTGAGAGATTTGAATACTCAGATTCAAATTGATCTTTCAGATTGAAAATCAACCAATTTGCTCTGATACCAATTGTTGATCCCAGATCTCTCAATATAACACGAAGATTTATGTTATAGAAACTAAATCTATCGTATGAATGAAGAATAGTGAAGAAAAGCTTATAAAATATTCAAGAGAATATGAAGCTTCAAATGATTTCACTATAATAATTTTAACGAGAAGGAATTAATTATTTACAAGACATATGAGAGCTATTTATACTAGCAATCTAGTCTAAGAGATAACAATCTAGTGAAATGATATGTATGAGATAATCTAGGAAAAGATATCAATATAGAATTTTGGAGTTATCTCTAACTACCTTGTGTAACTGAATTCCAGTTGTCGATGAGTCATCTCCAGTTGTCGATGAGTCATCTCCAGCTGTCTTCTAGGTAGTATGTTCAACCAGGAGTCTTTACGTTTATGCTTTACTTGGATGTCTCTGATTGAACACTTGATGAATATGTTAAGTGCTATAAACCAGAGGGGTGATGGAGATGCTTTGTTCATCGCATCTATGGACCATTCATTGCATCTCTAGTTCGCCTTCAAGTACTTAGGATCTTTTCTAGCTCTTCTTCTATCGGTCCTCTGGACTTCCATACTTGTACATTTTTCATTAATAAGAATTATGGGGTCTAATAGAAATAGTTGTGACAAGTGACTCATCAAGTGAATAAAGTGTAGACAGTGATTCTGATTCAGAGATGGAAGAAATCAAGCAGGCCATGGTTATGTTAACTAAGGCATTTCAGAAGAAATTCTACAAGAAACCGCATTCAAACAGTTAGAGATTCTCTTCAGGCTCAAAGTATGAGTTCAAAGATAAATTCGGTGAGAAAAAGAAGTATGATGAAAAGAGGATTGAGAATGTTGGGACTTCCGCATCATCGTTCCCTTGAGCCGGTCAAATCCGCGATTCTTAAACCCAACGCTCCTGTAGCAATGTAGGAGCATCCCACATCGGTGAGGCTAGGGGRATTCGTCTTCCTTATAAGGAAGGGGGGATCTTACTCCTACCAGTGACGCGTTTTAAAGCCGTGAGGGGTTGTTGCCGGGAGGGGCAGCCCAAAGCGGACAATATCATGTGGGCGGTTCCCTAGTATCGGACCAACAATTGGTAACAGAGCTAGGGCCGCACCAATGTGGGGGGGGGGGAATGTTGGGACTTCCGCCTCATTGTTCCCTCGAGCCGGTCAAATCCGCGATTCTTAAACCCAATGCTCCTGTAGCAATGCAGGAGCATCCCACATCGGTGAGGCTAGGGGGATCCGTCTTCCTTATAAGGAAGGGGGGATCTTACTCCTACCAGTGACGTGTTTTAAAGCCGTGAGGGGTTGTTGCCGGGAGGGGCAGCCCAAAGCGGAGAATATCATGTGGGCGGTTCCCTAGTATCGGACCAATAGAGAAAAGAAATGACGAATATAAAAAGTTTGTAAGGGGTGTAGCTGATGAGAATACTAAGTGCTACAACTGTGGAAAGAAGGG